TGTTGCTCCCATGCCAGGGGATATGTGGGGAGACGGCCATGGATGGGATGGCTTCCCAGTGCTGGGGATGCCCTGGGTGGATGAAGGCTCAGTGAGGACCAAGGTGGGATGGCAGGCACACCCCGCAGTCCCTCTGAACCCTCCGTGGGGACATCTGCCCTGACACCGAGGGGTATGCGGGTCCCCGTGGTGCTGCACCCAGCTCCGCATCGAGGTGCCTGGCTGGGGGACGGGTGGGAAAGGAGAGGGTGGCCCCGAGCCCACAGCAGGCTCCTTCTTGCCATCGTCATCCCTCTCGTCCCCACAGATCCTGCACCGCTACGACGTGGCACTGGTCCAGGAGGTTCGCGACTCCGACCTCAGCGCCGTCACCCAGCTCATGGAGCACCTTAACAGGTACGAGTGGGACTGGGGCCGAGAGCGCCTGGGCTGAGACGCCAGCATTAGCAGGGAAAGCCAAGCTGCCTGACCAACAAAAGTCCAAAACAAGTCCATCAGCAGAGAGTTTGGTTTTGGAAAGGGGAATAGGAGAAAAAAGCTGGAGTGAGGCTTTGAGTGGGCACTGAAAAACCCACCAGGAATAATTCAGGGAGGGGAAGGGGGACACAAGTGGCACAAAACCCCTCCGAAAGCTGCAGTCCCACAGGAGCACACAGGATGGAAAGGAACTACAGCTCTGGCAAGCTCCATCCCCCAAATCCAACAGGACGGGGCAGAGGCGAGCTGGGGGGTGCCAGCTTGCACCCCAAGACCCTGTGAGTGGCAGGGGGACCCCGGGATGGACCCAGCAGCTGATGATGCTCTGAAGCAAGTGGCTCGGGCACTCCAGGAGGAAAAGGGGCTGCTGGGGTGGGCTAAAACTGGCCACTGCTGGCTGGCAGCCCCTCGGCTGGCTGGGTGCTGACACCATTTTGGGTGAGGGGACCAGGCCAGGGCCAGGCGGAGGCTGCTGCTGCCTTGTTGAAAGGCAGCGAGTGCTCTTGAGCAGGGACGCCCAGCCCATGTCCTCGCCCCTTTGCTGTCCCCTCCAGCACAGCCACAAAGCAGCCGGGGCAGGGAGGATGACGCCAGGCTCTGTGGGGCCCCAGGCTGCTCATTAACCTAATTTAGCTTTGCTGCAAATGAAGGTGGGGAGCGTCCCTGCAGAGAAAGGGGTGGCAGGAGCCACCCCACATCCTGCCTGCAGCCGGCCATGCCCGAGGAGTCACCCCGGGGTGGTGGGGACAGCAGGGTGGCTCGGAGCCACTACACCCCGTGTCACCCCATGGCAGAAGCACGATGGCCCATGGGGACAGCAGAGCAGGACTGACTGGTGCCAGCCCCATGGCTGCCCAGCCCCTGGGCCATGCTGGGGCCACCCCAGGATGGTATCAGCCACGTCACTGGCGCCAGCCATGTCACCATCCTGCCTTTGTGTCTCCACAGTGTGTCCACATCCCCATACGACTACAAGATCAGCGCCCCCCTGGGACGGGACAACTACAAGGAGATGTACCTCTTCATCTACAGGTAATGGGGCTGGCCATGCTGCTGCCTGACCCGCAGCACTGTGGGGCCACCAGCACCCTGGGGGGGACACAGGGGCCATGCTGAGCCCCAGGGTCGCCATCCCTTTGGTCCCACAGGACAGACGTCATATCCGTGGTGGACACCTACCAGTATGAGGACCCCCAGGATGTCTTCAGCCGGGAGCCATTCATCCTGAGGGTCTCAGCACCCCACACCAGTAAGCAGGGGCACAAGTGACCCCAGGTGGTGGGATGGGGTGGCCATGGGGCTGACGTCCCTCTCTCCTGGCAGAGGCAGAGGAGTTTGTGCTGGTGCCGCTGCACTCAGCCCCGCATGACGCTGTCACCGAGATCGACGCGCTCTACGACGTCTACCTGGCCATTGTCAACAAGTGGGGGACTGATGTGAGTGCCACCGGCACCGGGAGTGGCACCAAGGGTGGGCGCTGAGCCCGGGGACCATTCGACCCATGCAGGGTCCCCCCTGCAAGGCGAGGGGGGCTGGTTCAAGGGTGGTGAGATGGGGAACTTGCTCCTGCCCCATCCCCTGCCACCAGGAACACCCCAGCACCTGGGGCTGACCCCAGAGCAGGGCTGGTATCGTGGGCAGCCCGATTCCCCAGCTGCCACGAGCCCCCCCATCCTCCCACCACAGAACATCATGTTCCTGGGGGACTTCAACGCCGACTGCGCCTACGTCCAGCCGAGCGACTGGTCGGCCATCCGCCTGCGCACCAGCGATGTCTTCAAGTGGCTGCTCCCCGACAGCGCCGACACCACCGTGGGAAAGTCGGACTGCGCCTACGATAGGTGAGCGCCACCACAGCACCGCCGTCCCCTCCCTGGCACCCCAGGGCCCCCCTGCCTGTCCTACACCACCACCGGCCAAGTGTGGGGGCCAAGCAGGACCCAGTGCTTGCATCTCCCGGGCAGGATCGTGGTGTGCGGCTCCAAGCTGAAGAGAAGCATCGTGCCAAATTCAGCCACCATCTACAATTTCCAGCGCGCTTTCCAGCTGGAGCAGGAGGAGGTGAGCCGGGCTCGCAAACCTGGGGCTCAAACAGGCACCAAAGCTGAGCTGCCCGGGGCAGGGCTGGCTGGGGGGCTGCTGGTGTCTGTTTGGCATTAGGCAGCCCAGCTTTGGCCACATAGCCGCCATATTGAAGAAAAAGCCCAAAAGCAGACTTGAAGCAGCTCCAGCAGCAGCCAGAGCTGCTGGCCCCTCCCCGGGACACAGCAGCCTGCAGCCAGCTAACGGGGAGCTTGAGGTGCCGAGGGATCCATGGGTGGGAACAGGAAGGGGGGATTTGGGGTCATTGTCCCCATGGGGAAGGGATGAGACACACAGGGGTTTTCTTAGTCTTTCATGGGCAGGATCCCATGGCATGGGGCAATCAAAGCCGACCTCCAACCACCCCGTAGCTGGCACAGAGCTCCCAAGCAAGACACGGGGGTCTCGGAGGGCTGGCACCCCCCTGCCAGCACCCACCTCAGGCCACACCTGGGCATCTCCCCACCACCGGGGAGGTGCCAAAACAGGAGCCTCGTGTGTTGAGCCTCTCAGGGTTGGGGACGTCACATCCCCCTCCAGCAGGCAGAAGGGTCTGGCAGGGTGATCACAGTCGCCCTGCTGGCCCCACCAGCGCAGCGAGGGGCTCACCAAACCCCTGCGTTACACCCCCCCATCTCTCGCCCTCCTCCAGGCCCTGGCAGTCAGCGACCACTACCCAGTGGAGGTGAAGTTGACAGCTTGAGCTTCTCCTGCAGCCACAGACAACGATCCAGCTCCAGCTCCCACCACCAACCCCCATGAAGCACTCTAGGCAGCCCCATCCATGAGCCCTATGCGTCGGCTGCTCCGGGTCCCCATCTGAGCCCACATGGCTCATGGCAGAGCCCCCCCAGCCCATCACGAACCAGAGCCCAGGGACAGGCCACCAGCCAGGAAGCGGTGACCGCAGACAGGCTGGGGAATGACACATCCACGTCCTACCTCATCAAAGACTTTATTGACAAATCTCATTTCACAATTAGCTGTTGGACAGGAGGGAGGATACCCAAGGACCGGTGGGCTTGGGGCCATGGCACCATCAAGACCCTCTCTGTGTCCGTTCCTCGGGGAAGCGGAGCAGGCAGCTCTCCCTGCTCTCAGGAAAGGCAGTGGTGGTGTCAGGCACTCTACAGGGACTAAGGGGAAGGGGCGGTTGGGGCGGCCACGGGAGCAGGCAGCACATCACCAACTGCTGACACTGCAGATGGCTTCGCTGTGAAAGTCTACAGCTACTGCAGAGTTTTGGAGGGTCACTCGAGCTCCTGGGACTGGGCCCCAGCCGCCTGGCTCCTCAGCTCTTCTTCTTCTTTAGCATCTCCATGTACATGCGAAGTGACTTCTGGATGGACTCTTTTGAGATGAAGCTGATAAAGTTCTGAATGTCTTCCTCCCGGTGAGCTACAAGGCGGTCCAACACCGCCTTCCTCATCATGGACTTGGTGAGCTGACGGGCATGGTCTGCGGAAAGGAGAGCAAGGATGGGAAACGTGCATGGTCCTCACCCCCAACCAGCTCTCGGCCACTGCCACCAGGTGCAGGTCCCTCCGAAGAGGAGGTACCACAGGCCAAAGGGCTCTTTAAACCAGCAGGGAAAGGTGTAAGAAAAACCCACTGGCTGGAAGCTGAACTGGATAAATTTTCGTACAATAAATTATGATCTGTACCGCTCAGTGGGGAAACAACTGATCTACTGGAATGATGACAAAAAGTCGTGCACCTCCTTCTCTTTGCACCCTCCAGAGCCCACCCCAATGCACACCACTGGGCTCAGGAGAGCAGCAACCGAACAAAATTCTCCGCTAGTTGAAACTGCTCTGGCTCTAAGCTCCTTCAACCCAACCCCTTCGACCTCTGGCAAGACAGTCTCCTCATGCCAAACATGCCGTACAGAAGCCAGCAGCACTGTCCCCTCGAGCTCATCCTAACGGCAGGCTCTGGGCCAGTTCCGTACGGATACGTGGATGCTGCTGGAGCTGACCAAAGCCTCAAGCACCCATCTGCTCACACACACACACACACACACACACACAGACAGAGCCACGCGCAATGATGAGGCTGCACATCTATTGCACGGATGTTGCGTACGCGCTCTCAGTGCGCTTGCAACAGCAACAACAAAATTATGACCAACCCCCCCATGCACTGGAAACCCCAAATCGCTCCAGCACCTGTGTCCTACAGACACCTTCACCCAGACAGACTCCCCCTGGCTCCGATTTAGGGCTCTGGGGAAGGATCTGCACGGTGGTTCCTGGAAGTCAGGAGAGAGCACAGCTGAGACGTGCTCCCCACTCCCGGGGGCTGAGGTTGCACTCTAACGCCAGGACAGCAGGGGAGAGAGCTGTTGAGAGACCCTCTTCCAAGGCTGGGACACAAAGTGACAGTCCTGGGACCCGTCCATTTCTGCCCAGTTTTGTTCAGGTTCCTACAGGAAGAGCAGCCAAAGGGTGATAAGTAGTTGCACCTCCCTGCAGTGCTCAGGAGGTGGCATGGGATGGGATAGCTCCGGTCTAGCCCTGGCCCATGGAGAGCCCTCTCCCAGCAGCCCAGAGCCCTCTCACTGCCAGTCACAGAGCAGCCCAAACACGCACATGACGGCTGTACTTGCTGTCTGTCCTCACGCCCCCATCACCATCCCCAGCTCAGCAGAGCCACGAGAGTGGATCCAGACCACAAAGGGGGACTGGCAGCCACCCCGGCACTCTGGCCCAGCCTGTTCCCTCAGCTCCCCGGCAGCTTTCCTGAGGTGACACCTCCCCTGACAGTCACAGAGATTCAGTTTGTATCTGGAGCTCAGGCACCTCTGGATTGACTCAGCAGGGCTGGCAGGGCGAGCTGAGCTGGAGCCACGTGCCCTGCACACCCAGCGCGGTGTCCTCCCATGCGGGGACGCTGGCAAGCACATCTCTGTTAGCCCAAGGCTGCCTGGACCGCTGTGCTGAGCTTTCCTACCACCGTTCACACCTTCCCTTTAAACAGAAACTGTTACATGGCTCCCAGGCACCAGCGGCGGTACCTGTCCTTCCCATCCAGATTGGATCCCCCCTTTCTCTGCCGGAGGTGCCACCCTTACCAGGAAGGGCCAGCCACTGTGCCATAACAGCCACAGCCTTCTCCTGGAGCTTCTCCTCTGGCACCAACTCGTCCACAAGGCCAAACCTGTGGGCCTCGGGTGCAGGGTAGAGGGAGCCCAGCTGGAGGGAGCGTTCAGCAACTCGGTGCCCCACAGTGTTCACAAACGTGTCCTTAAACCTAGGAGAGATGGGAGGAAAAGCCACGGTCAGG